CCCTGGTCAACGTGATGTTTTCTTTATACTTTTTCATTACTGCTGGAAACCTCCCTACCTTTAAATATGTTTATTAGCTCTTTTTAAGAGACCTTCCTTCTTATTTCTATAGATAGACCAGTTTTATAGACAATCCATCAAAACCTGCAATAGCCAAGTGGCAAAGGCACCTAACAAAGTACTCAGTGGGTGTCCACTCAGTCCGTTCCATTTCTTTTTACTAAACTATCAATCTGAAGAGTCCATGGTCCTTATTTCAACCCCTTTAGCATGTTTGGGTTTTTTGATTTGGTTTGGTTTTCTACTTATAAAACTAAGACTGTTTCCTCTATTTTAACATGAAACAGTAAGGGTGACTTAAGATATTAATTAGGCAAATCAGGAGAGGAAGATTCAGAAGCATCCATTGCCTGTCTTACTGTGAATTAATCGCCTATTAGCAAATTTTGGTGAGCTTTGACACATGCACTAAATATGGACTAAAATGATATTGTTTTTTCAGTGGACTTAGAGCTTGGGGGGGAAACATTTATATGAAACCACAGAATTTTCTGTGGCTCCAGAATTTTTCTTTCCTGGGTCATTGTAACTAGCCTGTGAGTAAATGATCACTACCATCCCTTTCAGTTCCAAAATTCTGATATTCTCATTACCTAACTGTGTCAGTCTGCTTCCAGTTACATTATGTTCATTTTGAAATAACTCTTCATGCTTTTTCTCTAAGTACCTTAAAATGTTAGGATTGAGAACTGATTTCATGCATTTCATCAGATGTAATTAACTAAGGGAAAGGGTTATAAAGAGAAATAATCTAGTTCCTGATTTGCTCATGGAGCCATATATAGACGATTTTAGAATAAATTAATTAGGTTGCAGAATTCCAGTGGCCTTGCAACTGCTTTGGGGTCCTTGAAATGGATTTCTTCAATATGTGAACCATGTGTCTCATCCTTAACCCATGGCAAGCAGGGTGACTGTAATGCCATTGTGGAGATGGGATGTCATACTTTTTACTGATGTGTCAGATGAAATAGGGGTAATGTTGGCAAGGAAAGTTGACAGGCAAAGGAAGAAAGTATAATGGTGAGTAGGTAAAGGCCAGCCCTGGGACCGGAAACATCTATTAAGTCCCTGTGACTGTTGTCAATGTGGAATGACTACTCTGTCTATTCCATGGTTCAGTCTAAATGTAAATGATATTTGAAGCTGGACAATCAAGTAGATTAAGTCATCGGTATGTTTGCTGCATACTAGACCAATATAGAAGGAGCAATAAAAACCAAGACAAGATGAGAAGAGCACCACTAGGGGCTCAAATCTAGTTAAGAAGCAAAAAAGTGAACACGGTTAGAGCCCAATACTAGGGTTCAGGCTGCAAAAATATCCATATAGTTCCTGCCAGGGCAAGCTCCAGAGCCACCAACCTAAGTTGTGATTTCATCCTCTTTTGATGGGTAGGTTATAGAATTGTGACCCAGAGTTCTTAAGCACATTTCGGGATTGGAAATGATGATCTTTTCAATTTACACCATTAAAACTAGAAGCACTTAGACCAATTTAGCAGAGGCAATGCTTACTACTCTGTGAACACCAGATAGGCCTGCCTCGGTGAATAACATTTGGATCCAAGAGTAATTTTTTTTCTCTTTTCTATGACAAAAGGTTTTAGCAGCATGCCTGGGTCTCTCTTTGATTTTGCTTGGGGGTCTGTAGT